AAGCACCTGCTCACTGTCCATTCTTCACTTCCCAGCAGCCAGCAAAGACGCTGAATTAGAACTTGTCACCTACAGAATGTTGGGGGCGGAGTGGGTCATACATGCAATCTACCAGACCTAAGAAGGGCTAAGAAGACCTGTATGTGAATGGCAACACATAGAAGGGATGGAACCTGGAAAGGGGGGAGGGGGCTGAAGAGGAGGAGGGTTTGAGCTGCAGTGGAGACTGAGTGGAAATTTGACAGGGGTGAGGGGGAAGAATGGGGAAAGGGGGAAGAAGAGAAGCAGAAAGGAGAAGAGAGAAGAGGAGGGGAAAGGAGAGGAAGGCGGAAGATGAGGAAGAGGGAGGGGAAGGGGCTAGAGAATGGAGAGGAAGGGAGAAAGATAAGCAGAAAGGGTGGGAGGGGGAGGAAGAGAAAAGGAGAGAGAGGCGACCAGCCGAGAGACAGGCCCTGCAGTTCTAAGCTGAACAGGCCACGCAGAGGCTGCCATAGTGGCTCCCTGGCTCTGCTTGCTCTGGCCAGCACTGCCCCTGCCCGAGCTTTTTTTTTTTTTTTTTTTTTTTTTTTTTTTTTTTGCTGTCGGCGGCCGGCAAGCCTCAGCAAACACATTTAAATCTGAAGTGACAGATAAAGCGATTTACGGCGACAGTTTAGCGTCAGATCACTTCCCACCAGGCAGTCGCTGTCCCTGCGGCCCCCTGCTTGCTAGTCCATCAAGGCGGTCTCTAAATCACCCGCTCCTGTCCAGCCTAGGCAGGCTAGGGGACAGCCAGAGCAGGGCGGGGCACTCGGTGGCTGCTCACTGGTGGCGGGCGGGCGCTCAGTGTTGCAGGCTCTTGTATTCACCAGGCTCCACTACCCTTCAGAGCAGAAGCAAGGGCTTTAGGGATGGTGGGGTGGGGGCGGGGACAAGGGGCGGGCAGGCTCTCACAAATCAAAGCCCGAGGACTTAAAGAAGCAGCGCACCACTAGTGCCTTATTTTAAATAAATAAGCAGCTTAAAAGTCTCCCTGCCAGGCCAGCTTGTCGCTGTGAGACATGGCTTCCCACCCATTTTTTTTTTTTTTAAGGCCAGGCCCCAGAACCCAGGCCCCTCAAAGGCCTCCCTGACCCACCTCACCTCCAGCCACCTCCTTACAGAATTAATTGGTCCCTGCGGTTTCACGCACACTTTACTCAAACCTCCCTCCCGGCGCTGTGTCACATTATATTCTACTTAGCGGCTCTTGCTCCTGACTTCCCCAGGACTAATTTACTGGGGCCCTCTGTGTGTCAGGCCTAAACATGTGTCATCCTCACTCCCACACAGGCTGCGGCTGAGGATAATGGCAGTTTTCAGATGAGGACCAGAGGGTAGGGAGGTGCTGGCAGGAGCCCCCAGGTCCCACCCCAAAGGTCTCAGAGGCCTGACACACATGCAGAGCCTGAGATTGCTCTGAAGAGAAAAATGGTTGTGTCTCTGCATACAGTGTGACATTCATGTATGTTCTGCCCTGAGATGACTCTGAGGCCAAAGCCAGGCCACTGGACCCCCTGGGCTGGCCAAGAATGAGGGTCTTTGTGTCCGGACTTCCTGCCTGGGGCTTAGCCATCTCAGGCACAGGCGCCCACAGACGCCGGGCATGGGGTCATATCCCCTGAGGCAGAGAGAAGACCCAAGCACTGTGAAAGCCACAACACCTCCCTCCCCAAGTGGAGAAACCCAGACCTAAGCTCCCCCCAGACACAGTCCCAGGTCAGAGGACAAGCTAGAAAGACAGGCACTGCCCCCAGCATCTCCAGTGCCTGAGAGAGGGAGTGGCCACAGGGGCTCCCTAGCTTATCTTGCCAGTGTGGCAGTCAATTTAATTAAGATGGATGTGGCATACCCCTGTGGGCAGGAGCCATGGCCAACAGATGGCAAGAGCTTGAGGCTCTCCTGGGCGCTGCCCTAGCATGTGGCCTTGGCCATCAGCCCGTGGGGCGGCTGTGGGGAAAGTTAAGTGAGTTTGGCTTGCCCCTGTGACCTGAAGCCCTGCCACTTACCAGCCAGGCATTTCTCCTTTTCTCTCCAGGCCTCCACCCCTGCCACACAGCACACATCATATCACAGACACACAGGTGCAACATCGCATCGCATCTCACACATGCCAGTCACGGTACACGTGCCATTAAGATGGCAGTAAAATCGGTCCTGGGCTTCAAAGTGCCAGGTGGCCAGTAGAAAGATGGGGGCAGGGGGTGGGAGTAACAGGGGAGGGCCTGGCCCTGCCCTCTGCAAGCATTCCCTGAGTCTGCTACCAAGGGACAGAGATGCCTACGATCTAGAGATTCTCTCCTTAAACTTCCCTTTTCTCAGCATCGGGGTAAGGCTCCACCCTCCCCATCTCCTCACAGGGCCCCTCGAGCTCCCTCTCCTCCATGTTCTTGCAGCTGCTGTGAGGCCCAGGGAGACACTCCTGCCCATCTGGAAACAGACACAAAGTGAGAACGGAATGAGGCTGGACACACACACAGTATGAAAGCCCTGGTGGGACTTCAAGACCCCAGCCACTCCCAGGCCACGCTGCTCCACAGGCCATCGAATGCCCACAGGCCAGTGCTGCCCCTGGCTTCAAAAATAAAAATTCAAAAATTCCCACCCCCAGATAATTGCTCTCTCCTCTCCCCTATTGTGGTGGCTCTGCGGTCGGCAATGAGAAGCAATTATTCACGGCTAATGATTATAATCAAGTCAAATAGAATTTAATGGACACGCATTCTCTTCCTGCTTGAAACTTTACATATGAATTAAGCACATATGGGTTTCACGAGGCTCGGACGCAGATTTATGCAGCCCTGAAAAGCCCCACATTGCCTGCGACTTTTATTTCACTAATAAAGGCTGATTTATGGGCTCCTCGGAAGCGCAATCTCTGCTGCCCCCTGGTGGGTGACAGTGCCAGGGTGAAGCCAGGGCCCAAAAGACCCCAGGGCATTGCGGAGGGAGCCAAGGCCACTGAGGAACACTCCTCTGACCAGTGCCAACACCACACCAAACACTAGGGATGCAGGCTCTGTATGGGAGACCCTTGTCCAACACCTGCTTCGGCCACTGCTTGCCGTTCTGGAAGGGTTCTGAATCCTGATCACGGCTCTTTCTCTAAAAAGGTCTCAAGGAAACACACTAAAAGGTGTTAGGTCCACTAAGGCAAGCAGAAGGGACGCGGTCATCTACAGGAGCCATCAAGTCTTTGGCCTTGTTGGATCGGCACTCAGCATGTGTGACGGGGCCACCAGTGCAGGTGCTGAACCCTTGGCTCCCATGCAGGTGGTAAATGAGTGTCATCCCCACCTTACGTGTCCCCAAGAACCTGCTGGGTCACTTTTCACCATCCCCATTGTACAGAGACAGAAAGAAGCCAGACAGGTGCAAGGATGCCAGGTCCTAGGGGAAGCATGGCCAACAGGGCCACCAGCCTGGCCAGGACAGCCAGCTCAGCTAGCGCCGGAGTGCTCCTCAGGGAGAGAACTGCAAAGCCGATCCACGCACCATGCCCCAGCCTCCAGAGCCCTCTCCTGTTCCATGAATCCTAAGATGCTTACCTTGGTCCCTGAGCCCACCGTTGTTCACCAGCCAGACTGCCCAGGATCTCACCTGTTTTTCCACTGTCCATTTTACAGCTTGGCGGGGAAAGAACCACTGTGTGCCTCCTATACCTTCAGCAGTGACTGGCAGGGCCAAGTGCCAGGGCAATTGTGCAAACCCAGACAAGGCAGTCTTCGCTCAGATTCATCGACTCCCTGCCACCTCCCTAACATGTCAGGTACAGCAGGGAGACATGCAGAAAAGCAAAGCTAACCCAAGCTCTCTCTGGCATTGAGTGCCACCCATCCATCACCTGAGTGCCTGAGACAAGCAGTGTGAGGGCAAGTGCTACACCTCTGCAAACACCAGACTAGAAACACTGACAACAGTGCTGCCCAGATCACAAACGCAAGCAGCCACTTCTGCTTACTAAGGGAGCCAAGGAGGCATTGACAGCATCAGCAGCTCCCCTGTTCTAGAGTCCCAGAAGGACCTACTCCCTTGTCAAGGCTGAGGTCAGGAAGAACTGCTGAGAGCCAGAGGATGATAGGGGGTCCAGAAGCACCTGGGGTGCCCTGGGCTGCACAGGGGAGGGGGCTGATATGATGGAGTTTTTCCTGTGAGTTGCAATTCTATGCTAGGAGCTCTGCCCTGATGTTCACAGAATCATAGGAAAAGACACCTCTCGTGCCTGCTGTAGTTCCTGGTGGTTGTATACGGAAGGGAGAGAAGCCACTTGACCTTGTTCCAGGAAGTTCCTATGCACTGCACATGCTAGATTTACTAACCCTAGACACCAGTTCCTGGAGACTCCAGAGCCCTTCCCAGAGCCTCTTGACCTCAGCCAGACAAACACCGCCTTCTTCCCTACCCCAGAGAAGCAGCTGCCTCCACTCTGCTCATCACAATAAACCTCGGAGCCAGCAAGAAGAGAATACACATAGGAAGCTGAGCAGCTCCCGGCCCAGGCTCTGGAGAGCTGCCAGGGGGGCTGTAGGGACATCTCTGCACCTTCCCCTCCCTCCCTGAGCTCCCTCACCTGGCCAGGTGTGGAGTGAGGCAGGGCCAGTGGAGGTGGGGAAGCAGCCGCTGTCTCTACCCCCACCCTAGAATGAAGAGCGCTGGCTCTGGCCTCCATCTCAGAGGCAGGGAAGTATGGCGTTGGTCCAGCCAAGCTCTCCCCCATCCCCACTGCTAATGGGCCTCAGAGCTGCAAGGCAGCTTGGCAGAGGGAGGTGGACCCACAAGACAGGTCAGGGCTTCAAAAGGAAAAGAGCCCAAGTGTCCGCCACACTGAACTCCTGTGGCGCCAGCAGGCCATCCACACCAGCAAGTGGAAGGCTCTCTGGAGCCAAGTGGCGCCCACCCGTTTTTTTTGGCACAGCAATCAGGCCTAAGGTGACGAGCGCCTCCTCCCCCCCTCAGGCCTCTGACTCAGGCCAGTCACTCACCAGCGTTGACAATGGCATCCACCTCCAGCTTGGTGATGTCCCCGCGGAACAGGGAGATTTTCTCATTCAGCTGTTTGTCCTTCTTATACTTGGGGTCCTCTACCTTTGCAGCCACCCCTGGAACAGACAGAGCCAGGGGGATCACACAGAGGGCCTTCACTGAAGAGTGTCTCAGCCAGAACCCGGGAGCAAAGAGCCTAAAGAATAGGGACCACTGATGCTGGTGACGACATCCTACACCGAATGTGCACTACTGTGTGGACACAAGGCCTTTACAACAATGCTCCAGGAAGCTTTAGTGATAGCACACCCCCCCTTTTATTTTCCTGTTATTTGGGACAGCTGGTCTCAAACTTGCTACATAGCCAAGACTGGCCTTCAACTCCTCATCTTCCTGCCTCTACTTCCCAAGTGCTGGGATTATAGGAATGCCCTACCACGCCTGGCTTCACACACTCCATTTTATAACTATCACAGCAGAGGCTAAGACGGGATAAGTGGCTTGCCGCAGGTCATGGGTTATCCCACCTGTACTTCTGGGGCTCAGAAGTTCCCCAGCATGCCCCTGTAAGCAAGGGCATCATGGCATCAGATCCCAGTTCCCAGTAACTGAGTTACCAGAGGTAGATGGCTTATGTAGTCTGGAGCTGGCTTCCTAATGCTGTCATGAGATGGAAAAGCAAACTGGCCCCAGGCAGTGTTAATAATGAAATGAGGTGACACATGCAGAGAGCCTGGATGCAGGGAGCACTCAATTGGTACTCCTAGATGCTTCTGGCAGATCCTCCCTGCCATTCTCCTGCAATGCCCAGGGAGTGGGACCTACCTTTCGCTGTCTCCTTCCATGTGGGGATCTTCTTCAGCTTAATGAAATCCTTGCAGAAGTAGTGCTCCTCCCTCTGCTTGTCACTCAGGCCCTTCAAAAAGGCTGCAGAGGCGGGACAGGTAGGAAGGAGAGAGTCAGTATGGCAGGGCAAAGAGCAGTCCTGCCTGGGCCTCTTCCTCCTGAGGACTCCTGCTGAGTCCGAGGGTGCAACCCAATCCCACCAGCCTGCTTCCCTCGGCCCTTACAGACAGAGCCACTGTAGACTCCACAACATCATGTCCTACTGTCTTTGTTCAAGAAGGTAAATGGAGGTCCAGGGTGACTGAAGTACTGTCTTATCCATTGAGGCCCCAATAGAATTCAACCTGGCCACTTCCTGGCACCGAAACATTTCTCTAGGTCCCTCATCTCTTCATTTGTAGGGGTAAGATGCTCCTTGCAGGACAACTTCAAACTCAAACACACTAAGCCAGGAAGGCTAAAGATGCTCTGTCCCTTGTCAGTCACAGTGTCACTAACAGCAAGACTAGGGTCCTCGAAGACAGAGTCCAGCAGATCCGGTGCCTACTGTCAGCATCTTCCCAGCTTGTGGTCAAATGTTCCTATTTTCATAGATGAGGCAGCAGAGACTTGGGAGGCAGCCTGAGGTCACTCAGGCTGGTAAGGACCCAGGCCCCCATGTGCTCACAGGCCTTCCCTCTACCCAATGTCAGGCCTTCTCTCGTCACCTCAGGGGCATCTCTCTAACAGCTTAATCCAGGCTCGTGGCTCACAGACTCCCCCTGCTGGCAAAAGGCCATCTATACACTTAGGCTCAGTCCAGCCAGGTTCCTTCAAACACCTGCTGGTAGAATGCTGTGGCCCTCACTATTACCAGAGAGGGGACAGCACACAGCAAAGGTCACATGAAAGAACCCAAATGGCATCCGAAAGCAGGTAGAAGTCGAGTTTGGGGATGTAGACCAGCTAGTAGGGTGCTTTCGCAAGGCGCTGGGTTCCAACCCTCCTCCAGACCTAAGAGCATTACCTAACTGACTCCCGTCTCCAAATCTAATTAACTCCCGCACCCTTTGACCTGGCAGTTTACCAACCTGTTCCTCAAAGACCTAGTTGATCGCCTGCCCGAGGCCTCTGCACCTGCTATACGTGGGATAATAGTTTTCCTTTCCAGTCCCCTTCTCATTACCCTCTCCATTCCCTTTTCCACTCCCCACCAAGCCTTGGCTTATGTATGTTTCTTCCTGGACCTTGACCAATAAGACGCACGTGAGGAGCTACCCTGTTCACCACCAGCACAGTGCACAGAGGGTCCAAGGATGACTCAGTGGAGAGCTGAGACCTGAAGGCTGAGCCATCAGGAGCTGCCTGTGCAGAAGCACTGAGGCAAGAAGGAGCATTTGGGGCTGATGTGATGGGAAGCTGGAACAGCCTGAGCAGAGTGAAGTCGTGTCACAGAGGGGTGGAGAGAAGCCACATGATGGGTTCATTCTTCCTTGGCTCCCACTATACTCGAGGGCAAGTCACAGCCTGAGCCTCAGTTTCCTTCTCTAGGTCAGAGATGAAGTCTACCCTCCATGGCATCCAGATGCTGAAGGTCTGCCATCAAGATCCAGTGTATGGGCTGAGAACATTGGCTCAGAGGTAATGTGCTTAGCTAGCATGCGTGAGTCCTAGGTTCAACGCCCAACTCCAGCTTTAGAAGAAGAAAGCAGGGCTGCAGTGTAACGCCTTTGTAGCACCACGGGATGTGAGAGTAGAAAGCCTTCCTCAGATAAAGAGCAGGGCAGGGAGAGCTTTGGCCATTATTTAGCTCCTCAATGTAGTTACTGTGTGCAACCATGACCAAAGACACCCTGAACCTTGGCACAATCAAGCGTGGATGCTTCCAGCTGGCTGGACCAGGAGCTGGCACCAAGATGTGGTGACACTGACCAACTGCTTGCCAGCCACTGCAGACTACCTACAGGCGCTGTTGAGGTGGTCAGGCTGGGACCAACCCTCGCACCCTATGAAATGAGTCCCATTGCTCAAGGACACCTAGACCTCTGGCAGACACATCTGACAGATGTCACCCCCTTAGAGGAGAGGCAGAATGATCCAGTCCTTGCCACACCTAGGTAAAGAAACCTGGTATGGATCTGTGCTTTGTGACCCTGATATCCTGGTTTGAGTGGCCACAGCTCACAAGGCCCACTTGATCCAATGGATTCCAAACAGAGCACTGTTTCCAAGAGACTGCACCCTGTCTCTGCCACCAATCACTACACCAACCTCAGGGACAACCTGTCAGTCTGTCCCTATCAGTGCCCAGCCCCAAATACACAATCCCAAAAAGCCAACGTGCGCCAGGTATGGTGGCACACAACTGTTATCCCAGCATTTGCCAGGGAGAGGCAGGAGGATCAGGAATTTAAGGCCAGCCCTGGCTACCTTAGACACAAATAAAGGCCAGCACACCAGTACTGTGTTCCCATCTCCAAACAAGATCATGGCCATGGCAGGTTCCTGAGTATTGAATGTCACACAGCTGCCTGAGCTGCTTCTCTGCCCCAAAGCCCACACACTTGTTCCTCAGCTTAGCTTCATCTTTTAGGGTCACCTCTCAGGCCTCCTCTGCCCCACACAGGAGTCACTGCCCATCTCCTTCCTCCAAGTCAGATGCAGACTTAAAGCACAAGTGGGTTTTATTTTTTTATAAAAGATGTAAAACATGCATTTTCATTCTCTTTCATTTTTGAAGAGGCGAGAGTATTTCACGGCTCACTGAGACAGGTGTTGTAAAAAGATGTTCGCAGTAAATTTTGATGGGGAAGCCTGACCCCAGACTAAGCTTCCAGAGGCTCGTGGGCACAAAAGCTGGGCAGGAGGAAGCAAGCTCTGCCAGAGCCATAAAGCGTGCCAGGCAAACGGGAATTCAATGATGTGTTTTAAGAAGTATCTTTATGGCACTGTGCAAGACGTCGTTCTGAGAGATGAGAGGCTGGGCCTGGGGGAAGGGGGGCTGAGTCTGCAGAACACCAGGTGGGCACAGCTGATAAGGTAGTCACCCGAACACAGCAGTGTGCGACTTCTGTGGCATTAATCACCTGTGCTCACCGGTCCCCAGGAGCAGCGACTCATGCAAGACTATGGCACAAGCAGTGAACGGAGCATGAAGGCCACAGCAGCTCTGGACCTGCCTCCACACACACTGGGGTATGCCGAGACTGCATCCCGACACGGAGGAGAGGCCCTCACCCCCAGTTCTCAGGTGTGCCTGAATGATATGCTGGCTTGGCAGACCCTTCAGAGACATTGTCACTGAGATGAGAGTCCCCGGGTCCTCAGTGAGTCCTGGCCCCTCCAACAGTATCTGCGGCTGAGGCACCGGACCCTCACCATGTGCCACCAGGGAGAGGGAGTGCAGGTGGTCTGTGAGAGCCCAGCACAGAGGACTGGAGCCTTGGAAGGGATGAGGAAAGTGGCAGCTCTGTATGCTGCCACTCTAATGTGACTCCAACACAACAGCAGGAGCTACTGGCCCCATTTCACAGATGAAGAAAGAGGCTCAGGAAGCATGAAACGGTGACCCCGGACTCCCTGAATTCTGATGGCACCAATATTCCTTCTCTCTTTGGTACACAGTTCTGCCCTAGCATAGGACAAAAAGGCAAACGATGTTCCTGATGGCCGCAGCTAAGTCCCCGTAAGCCAACTGCCTTTCACTGTGAATATTTCCAGTCTGTTGTTGTTTTGAACCTCAGTTTCTCTATGTAGCCCTGGCTGTCCTGGAAAACATGCTTAGACCAGGCTGGCCTCAAACTCACAGAGATCTGCCTGCCTCTGCCTCCCCGAGTGCTGGGATTAAAGGCGTGCTCTACCACCACCCAGCATCCAGTCTTTGATGGAATTTTTTTTTTTTTTAGATTTATTTTATTTTATTGTATGAGTATTTTGCCTGCATGTATGTGTGTGCTCCAAATGCATACCTGGTGCCTTCAGAGGCCAGAAGAGGACACTGGATCCCTTGGAACTGGAATTAGGGGTGGTTGTGAACCTCTATGTAAGTGCTAAAAATTGAACCCAGGTAGTAGTAGTAGTAGTTCTTCTCCTTCTTCTTCTCCTCCTTCTCCTTCTTCTCCTCCTTCTCCTTCTCCTTCTCCTTCTCCTTCTCCTTCTTCTTCTTCTTCTTCTTCTTCTTCTTCTTCCTCTTATCCTTATCCTTATCCTTATCTTCTTCTCCTCCTCCTCCTCTTCTTCTTCTGTTTTGTTTTGCTTTGTTTCTATGACAGTTTCTCTGTGTAGCCTTGACTGTCCTGGACTCGATTTGTAGACCAGGCTGGCCTCAAACTCACAGCAGTCCACCTGCTTCTGCCTCCCTGAGTGCTGGGATTACAAGTGTGCACCACCACATCAGGATGAACCCAAGTCGTCCTAAAAGAACAATCAGATCAAGCATGGTGGTGCACACCTGTAATCCCAGCACTCAGGGAGGCAGAAGCAGATGGATCTCTGTAAGTTCAAGGCCAGCCTGGTCTATGAAGTGAGTCCAGGACAGCTAAAGCACAAAGAAATCCTGTCTTGAAAAACAAAACAAAAAGAACAACAACAATCAGGGCTCTGAACCATTGAGCCATCTCTCCAATTCCTATTCCCAGTCTTCTAAACAGGTCCTAGTTGGGAGAAGGGCATAGTGGCACCCAAGAACCAAGGGGATTAGGTTAACCAGTATAATCAGATCTGACAGAAATATGCACCAACAAAGCTGCATGGCTCAGCACTTGGTCCGGTCCCCAAGATCATATAAACCAGGCTTGTTGGTGCACACCTGTAATCTCAGCATTCGGAATAATGAATAGGCAGGAGGATCAGATGCTCAAAGATTTGTACCACCATGACCTGAGCTACTTCTCCATGTCTTGTGCACGGAAACCTTCTGCAACCATGAGCCAAAACACAGAAACAACAACAACAATAAAAAACCTTTCTTCTTTCTTTCCTTAAATGGGATACATGGAGTTAGAGGCCAGTCTAGGCTACAGGAGACACTGTCTCAAAAACAAAAAGCCTACATATCTGATGAGGGGATCCAGCCTAGTGGCTGTCCTGTTGTGGAAGATGAATCCAGAGAAGCAGACGACCAACATGGAGGTGAAGAAGGAGCGAGACCTCTCCAGCTGGACCATGCAATGGACAGGGCCCAGCCCAAACGCAGGATATTCTTCTGGGAGTGTTGAGCCCTTCCTAAGCACTGATGTTTACCTTCCTGCCTCTCATTTGCCCTCCTGCTGTCTGCCTGCAGGCTGCTACCTGAGATCATGCTTTGAATCTGAAAGCCTCCAACAGGCTTCAAAGGCTTGGTCTTAAGGTAGGGGCTGGCTGGTAGAACCAGGAGCTGGTCTTTGCAGGCTATGCCTTAGGCCTTACTTCTTGCCTCACTCTCTGCTTCTTCGTCTGTCCCTCCCTCCTGCCACCATGATTGCTTTGTTTGTTGTTTGTTTGTGACAGTCTTGCCAGGTAACATAGTCCTTGCTATATAGCTTATACCAGTCTCCAACTCACAACAACCCTCCTGCCTCTACTTCAGAGTGCTAGGATCACAGGTATGCACCACCATGGTGCCTTGTGCCAGGAGACCTTCTGCAACCAATAACCAAAAATAGATCTTTGCTCCCCCCTCCCCCCTTAAATGGGATTATTATGGTCACAGCCATGCAAAAACCAGCTCGTGGGCTGCCCTGGTGAGAACATGTGCCACCAAGCAGCCCCAAGACTGTGCCTTGGCTCTCCCGCAGGGTGAGGAGGCCCTGCCTATGGGCTCTGGAGTTTTCACACCCACTGCTATTACATTTTTTTCACCCTACACTGCCTCTGCATCAGTCTAATGGGAGTCTAATCACTGTGTGCCAGGCTTTGACAGAAGATCACCCAGGAGATATTATGATATTACTGTCATAATATGTACGTGTGGACTACATACAGAGTGAGAACAGGCCAGCTTGGGCTATAGAAGAAGACTTTGTTGTTTCGTTTTTGGACACAGGGTCTCATTATATAGCCCAGGCTGGCCTAGAACTTGCTCTGTGAACCAGGCTGGCCTGGAACTTAGAGAGATCTGCCTGCCTCTGGCCAAGCAAATGCTGTGATTATAGGCATGTGTCACCAACCCTAGGCTTCTTTCTTTCTCTCTTTTTTTCTTTCTCTCTTTCTTTCTTTACAACAAACAAACAAACAAAGTCTTTGATGCAGGTAGATCTCGGTGAGTTTGAGGCCACCCTAGTGTACATAACAAACCCCAGGACAGACAGGACTACCGCAGAGAGACCGTGTCTCAAATAACCAAAACTCAAACAAATAAAAGGAAGTCTTTGGACCAGACTACCCCCACATTTCCATGCCTAGAGCCTGGTCATGGAGGCTTGGAGTAGCCTCTTCCACACACTAGGTAACTAAGACATGAGTTACCCAGTATCACCTGCCAGCCACTGTCACTGCAGCCTCGGGACGCCCTTGGTCACAATGGGACTACCTCCTCCAAATCTAGCCCATCTTCTGAATCTGGAATGCCTTCCCCAGCCAGCTGCTTTGCCTCAGGTCCTCTGACCTCCCAGCTCAGGTGACACCAACCACCAGTTTCTTCATAGTGCCTACAGGACATCATCCTGTGTCAATAGCTGTCTCCACTAGACAGACTGTTGCCTGACCACTTTCTGCTGAGTCCTACAGAGCTGGGCCCCCTAGGGCATGAGGTAAAAGTTTACTGAATGAGGTCCCAGGAGATGGCTCAGTGGGTACACACACGCGCTATGTAAGCCTGGACACCTGGGTTTGATCGCCAGAACACATGCAAAAGCCTAAAAGTGCAGTAGCACTGGAAATGGAAAGCACAGAGATGAGTCTCCACAGCCTCAGGGACCATCTTGCCTGGCTCACACAGACCCAGCTTGGCACGGAAAGGGAGAAAACTCAGCATCAGTCCAGCAGTTGAAGGGCCTTGGGTCCCATCAGCTTTCCCAGGTTGGGCTGGTTTTTAGGGTCCCCAAGGAAAGGGGAGCTAAGGGAAGGAGGGCTGAAATCTGGAAACAGAGGCAGACCCTACACTAGATATGGTACTATCCCAGCTCTCTGCCACCTCCCTCAGTTGCTGATCCCCATGAGAAAGCAGGACACTAAGGAGGGACAGTAATTCCCTCTGCTGCAGTTCTGGGCTAGCCCCCAATTTAGCCAAGGATGAAGGAGTGGCAAGTTCCGTCTGCTCCCAGACAGGACAGTCAAGCGCTTTAGGATCCTGAACAGACATGCAACTCAAACCACAGAGAGAAGTTCTTTTCTAAAAAGTCCCAATCTGAGGTTACCTTCAGCTCTGCTTGACCCAGGTGGCCTAGTCCCCGTGGTCCCGCCCACCAGCAGACTAGCCAATGAGGCAGGCGCCTTAGCAGCTCAGAGCCATAGGGGAGGGACTGGCGCTGAAGGGCAGGAGCAGCTGCGCTGCCTTGCCACACGGGCTATTTGGGACTCTGCACTTTGCGTTCCAGCTAGAGACTCATTGTCCGGGACCCATGGCCTTTTCCTGGCATGCCGTCCAGGAGGAGAAATAATTTCATTCTTAATAATTCTCATCAGCTCATGCCTGATGTCAGCCTGCTTTCCAAGTTCTCTAAGCCCATTTCCCTAAGAAGGGGACAAAGTGCTGGCAAGGGGCCAGAAGCCAACAGGAGGGCAAAACGGGCTCCTACCGTACTCGCAGAGAGGCTGGCACCCGAGTTGCCACTCTTGGGGCTATCTGATCTGCCTAGCAGGCCAAGATTCCACACTTTGCCTCAGCACACTCTGACCCTGACCCTGGGGAAGTGGACTCTGGGCCTCAGTTTCCCTCCTGCGCATGGAGGAAGGTGGCAGGTCCCAGACGATCTGGGGGGTGGGCCGCCTTCCCCATTCGCTTGGTCAAGGGGTGGCCTGGTGTGGGAGCTGGGCATGGCTGTGGGCTGGGGCGGGGTGGGGGGGGGAAACGTCCCAAACGTCTCGGGTGCTCGTGGGGTGCCATTCTGCCGGGGAGGCCCACGCCCTGCGCTCAAACTTACATTTGGCCTCCTTCCAGTCGGTGGAGGTGGTCAGGTCCACCTTCGCGGCCATGGCTAGGGGGGCCCAGGTGCGCACCCGGGCTCCACGGCCCGCCGCCCCCCAAGCCCCAACTCCCGCCGAGAGCCACGCGCAGTAGCCGTGCGCGCCCAGAGCCACCAGAGGACCGCAAGCACTGCCGCGGGGCCGCGGGCCACCCGCCGAGCGGCCGGGCCAGGGGCGCGGGGCGACCAGCAGCTGCCCCGCCGCGCGCAGCTGTGCCAGGCGGCCGGACACTTGGCTCTGCAGCGACATGAGCAGGCGGTGCCGGGCGGCTCCCCGCCCACTCGGACACTATTTACGGTGCTCCGGAGAGTCGCACTCGGTCCCTTATTTACTCTGGGACGAGAGTGGCGCGTGCCAGCTCGTGGCGACCTGCTTAGAGACCGCGGGCGGCGCGCCGCTGGGCACCCTGGAACTTGTAGTCCGGGTCGGGCCACTGCGCTCACGCACTCGTACACACTCGTACGCACCCAGCCTGTTTGTGTCCTCCGGGCTGGGGCCGCAGCCAACCTCCTGAAGCTCAGTGACTCGGCCCAGCACTCGGCGCCCGGGTTTTTCCGCTGAGCTGCCGTAGCTCAAACTCAACTCTGTCCCTACCGCGTGTTTTGCGGCAGAGAGACCGGCCGCTCCACAGTTCACCACATCTGGTCCACAGCAGCCTCAGATTCCTCAGCCAAGGGGAGGTGATATGTGCGGCAGACCAATGTGTCAGGTTGGGCGACTTCTCTCGAGCTGGGCGGCAAACTCCAAGGGCCAAGCAACGCCTACTGAAGTCCAGAGTAACCAGCAAAGCAGTGACGAGATTTGAAAGGCAGAAACCTGGGTGCTAAGCCAGGCATGGTAGTGCATACCTAAAACCCCAGCGTTTGGGAGGCAGAAGGCGGGAGGATCCTAGGAAAGCTTAAAGCCAGACTGACTACAGGGAAGCCACGTAGCTAAACTCAGTCCCAGTCAATCCATCAATCAATATAAAAAGAGAAAGAAAAGGAAAAAAAAAAAAAAAGAAAAGAAAATCTGGGTGCCCAGGAGCACTCTCTGGTGAACTAAGGTAATTTCCCCCCTCATTTTCCCTAATGACAAATGCTGGTAATCCCAACATTATAGAGGCAGAGGGAGGCCGGAGGAGGAGCAGGAGTTAGCCACTACTCCACACCAGCCTGGTCTACTTGAGAGCTTGTTGCCAGAGCTACTCAGTGTGACCCTGCTTTTTATTAAAAAAAAAAAAAAAAAAAAAAAAGCCATCACGGCGGCACATGCCTGTACTCCCAGCATTCAGAGCAGCAGAGGTAGGCGGATTTTTTTGAGTTTGAGGCTAGCCTGCTCCAGGACAGCCAAGGCTACACAGAGAAACCCTATCTGAAAAACAAAACAAAGCAAAAAAAGAAAAAAGAGAGAGAAGATTTAAATCCTGGGACTGGAGAGATGGCTCGACAATTAAGAGCCCTGGCTGCTGTTGCAGAGGATCAGGGTTACATTTGCAGTGCGGGCGTTGTGGCTCAAAACCATCTATAACTCCAGTGCCAAGGGAGGCCACACCCTCTTCTGGCCTTCCCAGGCACCAGGCATCAAAGTGGTACATAGACCTATATGCAGGAAAACACCCAAACATACAAAAATTTTTAATTTTTTTTTTTTTTTTTTTTTGAGACATGCCTTTTTGTTACCCTCACTGTCCTGGAACTTGTTCTGTAGAGCAGGCTGGCCTTAAACTCACAGAGACCCTTCTGTCTCTGCCTCCCAAATGCTGGGGATTAAAAGCATGTGCCACCACCACCCTGCTATACATAAAATTTATTTACAAATTGTTATTGTGAGCCTTAGTGGCTGAGCCAGTTCTCCAGGCCACAGTCCCAAAATTTTACAAACAAATATTTAGTTCCTGAAAAACAAAACAAAAAGGCAAGAGATCAAAGCAAGAGAATCTCCTCCTAAAACATCGCTACAGATCTGGCAACCCAAACAATGCAGATCTGTCGTCATAAGTTCTATGAGACAAGAATCTGGCATGAGTCACCAGAATTACATGCCTCTGGCTTCATTCCTTCCTGGAAGCTCTAAGGGAGCTTGTCCCAGGGTTTTCCAGTGGCCAGTGGTCAATGAGCCTTCCTGCAGAACCTTTCCTGTAGCCTGTAAGCCTGGCTTCTCTTGTCTCTTATGTGGCAGGGGGCCTTGCTCTCTGGTTCTCTGTCTACCATTTCCAAGGCTGTGATTACACTGGCCCTGTCTGTATCCAGGACAAAGTCCATACTTGCCCACAATCAGCTGGTTTGTAGCCTCAGTTTCCCTTTGTTAAGAGGTTAAATTCACAGGTTCCAGGGGTTAGGATGTGGGCAGCTTGAAGGGCCTTTACATCCTCCAGAGGACTCTGGGAAAAGGCAAGGTCCCGCCCAAAAGACATTTGGCTCCTAAGAAGGCTTCCTTCTACTTAGGGCCTGAAATCCATATCCGTTGGGGCTTGATGCCTCAAACTTTCTGGAAAAAAGTCCCCTGTCAGGTAGTGCACACTAGGTACAGTCCTCGTTTTTTTTTCTTAATTGAAAATATTTTTCACACAATATATTCTTATTAGTTTCCCCTTCCCCAACTCCTCCCAGATCCTTCCTGACTCTCCACACACCCATATCCGAACCCTTTCTCTCCTTAGAATACAAACAGGCATCTACAAAATAAAAAATAACAAGATAAAATAAAAACAAACTGAAGCCAGGCATGGTAGCATATACCTTTAATCCCAGCACTTGGAAGGCAGAGGCAGGTGGACTTCTGTGAATTCGAGGCCAGCCTGGTCTACAAAGTGAGTCTAGGACAGTCAGGACTACAAAGAGAAACCCTGTCTGGAACCCCACCACCAACAAAAACCTGGAATAGGAACAAGCAAACAAACAACTAGGAGAAAGAGACAAAGAAAAAAGCATAAAAAGCCAGAAACACACTATCTATGCAGAAACATACATATTCACACACACAGAAATCCCATAAAAATACAACATGAGAAACCAGGTTATACATATCAAATATCTATAAGGGAAAACAAGAAAGAAAAACAAATAAAATTAATGCCCAGACAAAGCTTTATGAGATAAGAAACCTCCAAAAATGCCATTGAGTTTGTTTGGTGTTTGCAATCTACTGTGGAGCCTAATAGTGGTGTTTAGTGTGATTCCACTGGAGAAAAAGTATTTTTCCTTTATGAACAGTTGTCAACTGCTGATAGCTCTAGGTTAGGGATGGGGCCGGTGTCCATTTCCTCCTCGGCGCTAGGATCCCATCTGGCCCAGAATCATGTAGGCCCTGTGTGTACTGCCATTCTCTGTGGATTCATATGTGTTTCGGTCCTGCTGTGTTTAGAAGACCTTGTTTCCTCGGTGTCCCCCATCCCCTCTGGCTCTTACAATCTTTCTGCTTTGTCTTTCTTGTCTTTCACAAGGTTCCCTGAGCCCTGAGGGAGGGATTTGATGAAAATACCCCATTTAGGACTGAGCGTTCCGGCCTCTCAGGCTTTTCACATTGTTCTGCTGTGGGTCTCTATTTAGATACTATCTGCTACAGGAAGACATTTCTCTGAAGATGGCTTAGCCAGACACCCATCTATGAGTATAGCAGAATGTTGTTAGGAGTCATTTTAATGCTAAGTTCTTTTAGAACAGTAGAGTTTGGTTTTCCACTAGGTCCCTCATCTGTCTAGTCTCAGATTCTTGGCCACCTGAGAAGTGACGGGATGGGTTTCATCTCATGGACTAGGCCTTAGATTCAATCAGATATTGGCTGTTTCCTCCCACAAGCTTGTGCCACTATTACATCAGCATGTCTTGCATATAAGCCACAATTGTAAATTGAAGGTTTTAAGCTGACAACCATCATTCTTTCTGCTGGGACACAGGTTTGCATTTACATAGATGCCTCATGAAGGCCTCAGCCAACATCCCACTACAGTCTGTCAGCCTTCTGGGCCACATACCCTGGTGATTCTGGGCAGAGAGGTAGGGGCTTGATGGAGATTGATTTGGAGGAAGTCTTCACAGAATTTGAGCTGGGCCTTTTGTTGCTTTTGTTGTAGTTGTTTGAGATAGTGTCTCCTGTAGTTCAGATAGCTTCCAATTGGATGTATAGCTGAGGATGACCTTAAACTTCTGATCTTCCTGCCTCACCCCTAGCGCTGAGATAAAAAGGTGTGAGATCCACAGCAGATTTATGTTGTGTTTGGAATGGAACTCAAGGTTTTCTGTGAGGGCAAACACTCTATTGAACTACACTCATAATCCCTGGCCTGGAACTCTATAGAGAAGGCCAAGGATGACCTTGAACCCTTGACCCTCCTGCCTCTATCTCCCAAATACTGGTATTATAGAAATAGCTGTATGTTGGTAGCAGAAGGAAGGCACGGAAGTCTCTGGAGTGCTGAGTCCTCCAGTGGGGCTACACTCCAGTGTAGAGTGTTATTGGCTGAGAATCTAATGTTGGGAAGAAAGAGGCTTTTATGCACAGAGTGCTTCCTACCACTGCTAGTGTTTAAATTAATGCTGTTTATCAAAATGAAGGCATCTAAAAGGAACTAGGTTTTTTGTTTTTGTTTTGGTTTTGGTTTTTTGAGACAGGGTTTCCCTGTGAGTAGCTTTGGCTATCCTGGAACTCACTCTGTGTATTAGGATGGCCTCGAACTCATGGAGATCTGCCTGCCTCTGCCTCCAGAACTAGTTTTTCTTAAACATCTAAGTGCATCTTACAAAGGTAGTTTTCTACTTATAAATCTACCAATAATTATAAAAAAAAAAAAAACAAGAAAAATTAAAAGCCAGGTGTGGTGGCACATGCTTGTAATCCCAGCATTCTGTGAGGCAGAGGCAGGCAGATATCTATGAGTTCAAGTCCAGCCTGGTCTACAAAGTGAGTCCAGGACAGCCAAGGCTACACAGAGAAACCCTGTCTCAGAAAAAAACCCAAAACAAAACAAGAACAATTGCTTCACTATTCTTTGATTAATATTTAATTAACTCATAAATTCTGCAGATTAGCTTTTTCTTTAAAAGTGGATGCCTACTATAAACATATGTAATTAAACTCCCTAATAGATTTTTTTTTAAACTACATTTCACCGAATTGAAATACAGTAGGTGGAAGCTGGGATAGTGGTGCATTTTGATCCCAACACAAGGAAGCAGAGGTAGGTGGATCTCTGTATGTTGGAGGCCAGCCTGGTCTACAGAGCAAGTTCCAGGACAGACAGGGAAATATGCCTTGTTGTGTGACAAGACATTTCCCAGGGAAATAGTGCACAAAGGTCTACTCACTCTGGATAGGGAGCTCATGACAAATACTTCCAAAATCCAAATTGGTCAACCAGTTTGATCACTTGTATTACAGTCATATGGGTGAGGGGT